AATTAAGGGTGGAGCTGGGCTAAACTTTCCACCAATGAAAAACGAATCTGCAGCATAAGATAACCAGAAAGAGCTAATCGAAGGTTAGTTAAAATGATTCACAAGAGTGCAAAAAAACATGGTTTCTAGGCAACAAGAACTTTGTGACAGGGTAGTATTCGTAGAATTACGGGTGGAGCTGGGCTAAACTTTCCACCAATGAAAAACGAATCTGCAGCATAAGATAACCAGAAAGAGCTAATCGAAGGTTAGTTAAAATGATTCACAAGAGTGCAAAAAAACGTGATTTCTAGGCAACAGGAACTTTGTGACAGGGTAGTATTCGTAGAATTACGGGTGGAGCTGGGCTAAACTTTTCACCAATGAAAAACAAATCTGCAGCATAAGATAACCAGAAAGAGCTAATCAAAGGTTAGTTAAAATGATTTTTCTTCGTATTCAGTGGCTTTGATTTGGATAGCACTCAGGTAGTGTGATGTAGTAATGTTTCATTGTAAATAAACATTTTTTCTGTGTAATGAATCAGATTAGGACAGGCTATTTCAGCCTGTGATAATGCATACAAAACAGAACTGGAACAACATACATTGTTTGTATAGCGTACTGTGTGGACTTTTAAAAAATGATGGTAAATACTAATTTCTGCCCAATTTCAGATAATCACAGAAAGACATTTTATATTTTCCAAAAGAGATCCAAAAATACTTTTTGAGTGTTGTTTCACATTAGTTACTGCAGCTCTCTATTTAGGCAAAGCACATGGTCTGTATCATGTTAGTCAAAAGAATACACTGAACAACTTTGAGAAAAAAAACGACAAGACAGTAGTCATGCAGAGAGAAAGAGAACTCTGTCCGAGTTTTTAAAACTTCTTTAGCCTTACCTGGATCTTGTAAGATAGTTTTATTGTTTTTAAAGTTTTGAAAAAATATACACAGACTGAATAATGTTCACATTGTTGAGAATCAAATAATGTTTCAGTGTCGTTTAGGATGAAAGACATTCATTTACCTGTAAATTTCAATTAAAGCCCTTGATTTAGGAGAATTCTTAGATAATAAAGGATTTCTTTAATCCTCATTTGATTACATAGAGTCTTTATACTTCAAGATTGATGTATTTTGTTCACAGATAGGCTTAGTTTTACCAGTAAATAAATTTTGAGTTGTGCATATTTACCCTGAGGAAGCCACAAAAGCGAAACTTTGGTTACAATATTAAATATTTTTTTTTATATATATCTAGAGTGTAATGATAATTTTTTCTAAACTTTTTACCAATAAAACTGGCAGAAAAAAAAAGCAATATAGGTAGACAAATTGGGTGCAAATTCTAGTAAATATGGTAATGGTGTACCAAAACCTTAAAAATTCCTCATTACATAAGTTGTGTTGCTTATTTTGGCAGAACTGGTTAATGCTTTAAAAACATTTTGTCAACGGAAGGGTCTGGATCGATACTGCTTTCCAAAGAATGTAAATAATAAAAAAGTGTTTGAGGAATGAAGCATAACCCATAGTGGTACATATTTTATGATAACATGTAATTAAAGTATTTTTTATTTCATCTCAGTATTAAATAAATAGTTTTATGATCAGTTTCTAATTTAATCCAAGACCAAGTACATAAAATTAACTGTCTTCCTTTGCTTGCAATAAGGCAGGCCCTCCGGTGGCACAGTGATAAGTCTGAAAGCTTATAATTCTAAAAACTGGGTTTCAGTACCCGTAATGGGCACAGCATGAATAGCCCACTGTGTATCTTTGTGCTTAACTACAAAGAAATAAAAAACAATTTGGCAGAAACTGTTAGGGTACTATGATTTCCACAAATATTCCAGGCTAAACAACAAACATTTAGCATGTAATCATTTTCTTTATTGTAGCATTTTAAATATATACAGTGTATATTAAATTAATGGTTTTTTTCATTTATTTCAATGGACATTTTTATGGTTTATTTATTCCTTATTTTCATGTATAAAATAGTTGAAGAGTCTAGATTCAGACTGTTGTGTCGGGCCCGGCATGGCCTGGTGGTTAGGGCACTCGACTCGCAATCCCCGTCACACCAAACATGCTCACCCTTTTAGCCGTGGGGGCATTATAATGTGACAGTCAATCCCACTATTCGTTGGTAAAAGAGTAGTCCAAGAGTTGGCGGTGGGTGGTGATGACTAGCTGCCTTCTCTCTAGTCTTACACTGCTAAATTAGGGACGGTTAGTGCTTTGCGCGAAATTCAAAAACAAACAAACAGACTGTTGTGTATTAATTACCTTAAGTAAAATAAAAGATTTATTCTTGAAACTTTGTTTGTTTGTTTTATTATATAATATCTTACTTTGTTTTGTATTTCGAATATTTAGTGAGATATTTAAGAATAATTATGTGTTCTCGTAATTGTGCATGTGCACAGTAATACTTATCACAGGAAATTCAAGTATTCTTTACATGAAACTGATGTCAAACATTATTTTCTTCTTCAGTGTTTTTCTTTCTTATTGTTAATTGCATAACTTCAATATATATCAAGTTTTAGGAGATTGCTTCCAAAGTCCAACATACCGGATACTTGATATTTTATGCCCCCCCACTCCCAATTAGTTTCATATGATTGATGTATTTTAGGATGAAACAATAGAGATGTTTCTAAGTAACCTTTTTTTTTCCAAAAAAATTTCAGCTCTTGTGTCAGTATGACTTTGTAGTAGTTAGTTGTTAAAAAGTGACTTACTAGCTAGTGCTAGGTGGTTAACCATATATCTCAGATGTAAAAACATTCACTATGCATTGTGTTTAAATCCAAGTTGAAGACATATATATATATCATAAAAATAAATTACCATAGTTTCATTTCAATTATGCCATCCTTCATTTATTAGAACTTTTAATAGTTTTTAAATAAGTTCTTAGAACTCATTATCAGCTGATGTAAGAGTGTTTGTTTGTTGCCCCAAAAATGTACAAATGTAATAACCTATGATGTTTTAATCACCATTAAAAGCAGGATGCCTTCATAGACTTGAAAATTTTGCAGTTTTTCCATGCTTTCATTTTCAGAAATATTGACTTTATTCCTTTTAATTGGTGTAAATGTACTTAGTCTGTTATTGTACTCTCTAGGAACTTTTGGTTTGGATAACTAAAGAAACAAGGACATGGCCTTGAATCCAGTTAAGAAAAAAGGCATATATATGAGATGCACAAAGAACAAAAGTGATGAAATACAGAGTAAGCTTTCTTATTGCAAACAGACGAATCATTGTTTGCAGGCTTAGGTTTTTAACCTGTTAATACTACTTCAAAGTCTCAAGACCTTTCCAAGTTAATTAAAGCAAAATCTTAAAAATGGACTGTTGCTAAAACAGATTGTCAGCATTGCCTATTATGGTGCAAAAACGTGAGCCGAGTATAAAACAGTCATCAGAAACTAATGAGAGGTGAGGCTCCCAATTCAATCTTGACTATAGTCATGCTCTTAACCTAGCTTTAGCCAAAACTGCTAGCGTTACTAAAACTGTTGCTAGTACTTTTGGGTTGCTTGAAAGGATAGCAATGTTCTGTTCAGACTTACAAACGGATGATTTTGTATAATAAAAGAATGAACCAATCAGGTGCTGTTGATATTGAGAATCAGCATCGATTACAGAAGATTGGGAAAACAAGATGATAAGTTGCTCTTCTACGTGTTTTTGATGGCTCCTCTACATCTTTTACTGAAAGAAAACAGTTTGGAATAACCATAAAGGCACTCATTGTGGTAAAAATAGTACCAAGCAAAAAAAGGAACCCAAAGCAAATCTCTAGTGCTGTAGTTTGAAAACTAGCTTACTAAAAACTCTGAATGAGTTTGAATCTGTGTATCCTACATCTCTTCCTGAAAGAAGAAGTTAGAACAATAATTGATTGTCAAGTGAGATTGCTCCAGATGAAATGCCAT